AAAGAAATTAAAAAATAAATTCACCTGTATCCTTGCCGTGCGGCAATGGCTTAGGGGTAAAAAACTCTGCATTGATGTCAGATCAGTATGGTTTCGATCCCGGCTTGAGGCAATCAGATGGCCACTCACACTCTCTCTTTTATTATCAAATGACGCCTTTTAATTTAAAAAAAAACAAAAAAACTGAATAACGTTACATTAATATTTGCAAAAATAAATAAAGAAACGTACGATGTTTGGTGAAAAAAAAAAAAAAAGAAGAAGAAGAAGTATTTTTATGTTAAATATAAGCAGTGTGGACACAGAGTTCAGTATCGAATGGTGACAGTCTTTTTCATGTTTGTTAGCAATCTGATTATATTGATTAGAATTACAATTAGAAATGGTCGATAGTTCTTCAGTTCATTTGAGCAGGATCCTTTGTTTGGGGTGTTTATAGTATCTCTGGGTATAGAGTTCCACTTATCTATCACCTTCAGGGTAAATAAGTTGGATCTTGCAACCGTTTTCGAGTGCTGTTTCAGCAACTTACGTAAGTGACCACGCATCTTCCTGTTTGAAAAAGGGTCCATTTTATAACAGCCATGCTGTATTTTATCTACCTCACATAGGTTAATATCGTGGCGTTTTCCATGAAAGACATGGTAGCTTGATTTTGCCTGTAGCTAGGCTGAGACACACCTGTCCTGGGCAGATTGTAATAAAGTCGATATCATTTTATCGTTTGGACTCCAGGCAGCAGCCCCATATTCAAGTACTGGTTAAGTAAATGCAATGTAACTGGGTTTTTTTTTTACCTTTGTTTAGTGTAAGATTCATAAAGCCACCTTTAATCATTACTATTCTTTAATTAGCTTTCTTTAGGATTTCAGAAATATATGTTCTTGAAGATAAATCCCATGAAACTAGAATACCCATTGTTATGAGATAAACTTTGAGGTATTATGATTACTTGTTTTATTTACATTATTCAGACTGTTATCCTCATCTTCATTGTCATATTCCCAACACTTCGGCCGTTGTACACTGCGGCCTTCTTCAGGTGATTGGAATTTCGAACCACTTGAATAAACTGAAATTTCTATTTGTACATTTCGAGATAAAATTAAAATACTTCTCTTACTATCCATAAGTACAAAGTTTCTATTAAACTTTTTGTAATTCAAAATGGCGCAAAGCGGAAAAGTAGCAATCAGTAATTTGTATGGGAAAAAATTTAAGCGTTTTCTCAACCAGAAAATAACAACACGTAAGAATTTCGATTGAGATTTCTGCAGTAATTTCAAAAGTAATTGCAGACAGGGCCCGTAGGTTATGGGTAAACTTGCAGGATGGTTTGAGTGCCTACAGAGGTTTGTATATATATTATATATAAAATTCTGTGACTTCTGTTAGTCCGTCCGTCTGTCACACCTTCTAAAATAGCCACACATTGACCGATCGTAACCAAAATTTCGGGAGAAGTGCAAACAGATAAGGGGGTACAAAATAAAATTGGTTTTACTAGTGTGCGTATCTTAGGACAATAAATTTTCATTATTTTTTTTTGTAAATAAAAAGTTTTATTATTTAACATACAAAATACTCCAACTATTTTAAAAACAATTTAATGTTATTTAAAATAACAAATATTTATTTAATAAAAATGCAATATTGTTTTTCTTTTTTGCATATCTTTTCTTTAAATTTTTATATACAAGAATCCAGTTTTCAATTTGCCCTGCGTTTGCAAGAACTATAAACAAATCAAAGTAAGCTTGTAGCAAAATAATACTAGTACACAAAAAAAAACTACCTCAATAGGTTTGCGTGATGTTTTGAGTGGCTACGAAGGTCTGTATGTTATAAAAATGCATGACGCTAAACAGTGGAAGATACTGGTGTATTTCAAGCCTTCCACTTCAGCCACAGTAAACGGTTAACCCGTATCCTCATGGCGTCCATTTAAACTGAGGCCTTCTTTTCTCCACATAAATCAAAATTATAATCTATAATTTCGAAATGGGAAAATTCCACTGAAATATGTTGGGGATTTTCCAAGTTTTTATCTAAAATCAAGAAAAATACTAACTATAAGAAAATGGTTAGAATATATGAAAAATAAGGCGTCAGTTTAAATTTACACCAGGAGGATATAGTTTAACCATAAACTTTGATATTGTGACCGGCTGTTAGAAGGTCGGTCTTATGAGTCTAGGAACCCTCAAAATATACCTCCACCCTATAAATTTAATGATAATGCTTCTTTAATACTATTTAGATAGCGGGGGTCGTTTACATATGATAAACGCGTATCTGAATTTGAAATGTATCATTGACAACATAAATAAAAATATATGCTTGGATGTAGCAACAACCAGAAGAGAAGAGTCTAGGAACACTCAAATATATGTCCTATATAAATCAGTAATAGTTTTTTCTTCGTTTTACGCTATTTCGGGTATGAACAGGTTGAGATAGATAGATAGATAGATAGATAGATAGATAGATAGATAGATAGATAGATAGATAGATAAATAGATAGATACAAACGGACCGAGGATAGATAGATAGAACGATAGAAAGATAGATAAACGGAGATAGATAGAACGATAGAAGATACAAACGGACCGAGATAGATAGATAGAGATAGATAGATAGATAGATAGATAGATAGATAGATAGATAGATAGATAGATAGATATGAAACGGACCGAGGTAGATAGATAGAACGATAGAAAGATAGATAAATAGATAGATACAAACGGACCGAGATAGATAGATAGATAGATAGATAGATAGATAGATAGAGAGATAGATAGAAATAGATAAGGACATTGAAATAGATAGATAGATAGATAGATAGATAGATAGATAGATAGATAGATAGATAGATAGACCGAGATCGTCTCTGTAGAAAGCAGAATCTCTCTTAGAATACCGACTGTGATAAATAAATGAATGACTATTTAAATTTTGGAAACCTTATATCCGGTATAAGGTTGTTTCTTGGTATGCTCATCGTGTGAAGTGCTTTGAGCGTTATAACCTGGCGGAACCCATCCCTCCCCAGATTAGACCACAACCGATGTCCAACTAGGTGACTCACCTTTGTCACGAACACATTAATTCGAGGAACCCTTCCGTTTTGGTCGGTGATCTGTGTCGAGGAAGTCCTCCACCCAGTGGTACCGTGTTAACATCACCCCGCGCACGTAAGTTTAGCCCACCAGATGAAGCGGTTTATCGAGGCATGGCAACTGCATGTGAGAGAATTAGGAGATTGTTGCAGACCAGTGATGCCCGTCCAATCGAAGGTGCAGAGTGCCAGACATCAAAGCTTCTACCTCTATCCAGAGCCCTCCTATGACCAAACGCATGTACGAATTTGAAATGTAGCATTCAAAATAAATGCTTGCTTTTAGCCAACAACCAGAAAATAAAATTGTGTGAGCTTTTCGCTTTGACTGAGAGTGTTACAATAATTGGAGGAGTAATTGTAGAAAATGCACATAGCTTTAGGGCAGGTTTGTCACGGTCGTGTATGGTAAATAGGGCGGCGACTGATCCGGTATAAAGTTGTTTCTTGGATGGTGCGGTCATCCAGGTTAGACCACAGAAGATGTCCTCGAACTAGTTGACTTGCCTTCGTCACGAACACATTCATCTGAAGTAGCCTTCGCCTCTGGCCGGTGACCTGCGGCGAGGAGGTCCTTCTCCCCACTAGTGTCGTATTAGCACCCCCCACATAAATTTAGACCCCCAGCTGAAGCAGTTTATCGGGGCATGGCAACTGCATTTAGGACCAGTGATGCCCATCCGCCCGAAGGTACAGCGTACCAGACATCAATGTTTCTACCTCTATCCAGATACCCCTATGACCAAACGCATATACGAATTTGAAATTTAGCATTCAAAATAAATGCTTGGGTGTAGCCAATAACCAGAAAATAAAATTGTGTGAGCTTTTCGCTTCGACTGAGAGTGTTGCAATAATTGCAGAAATAATTACAAATACTACATGTTGGTTTAGGCCAGGTTTGCAGGAATTTTTTAGTGCATAAAACGAATTGCATGACAGAAAAATACACGAGATGAAGCAATCGAGTATAATAGCATATTTGAAAACTTCCACTTCAACTACTGCAAATGATAAACTTCAACATCGAGGTAAGCAGACATAGAAGAAAGTTACTGGTAAGTGTGAAACACTGAAAAATACTTCCAATATAAATTAGTGGTTTCTTCGTTTTACGCCATTTTCAGGTAACGAAGGAAATCTTATATCTTAGCTACTCTCAAATAAAGTTATTACAATTTTAATCAATCGCCGACAGTTGTCAGCGATTTTATTGAGTTAAGTTTTTCCTTAATTTGAGAGGAATTCCCTGAACGTGAACATATTGCTGACACATGGTTATCGTAATCAAAAATAGGTTTTCAATTCTTATGTAATTTGTTGAAGATATTTCGAATGCATATTCCATATATAATATATATATATATATATATATATATATATATATGTGTGTGTGTGTATACATACATACATACATACATATATATATATATATATATATATATATATATATATATATATATATATATATATATATAAAACCACTACAAAGAAGAATTTGTAAATGAGAAAATGATGCTTTCTGTTGGCTGTTCTTGGAGTGACACATTTCCGCATGGAAATAAGAATCGTTAAAAACTGCAGAATATTACAAATTCTTAGAAAAGGTAATGCCGCATGGAATCTACAAGCTACACACATTGTAGGACAGAATAGAAAAAAAAACATAGAAGTTATAAACAACGATCCAGAGCTTACATTAAATATTTTTTTTTTGTTTGTTTCTTTCTTTTAACTATTCATCTCTCTTTATTGCTATGGATTTTCCTTTCTTCCTTCCTTCCATTGTCCATCCATCCACCCACCCATCCCTTCCTTCTAAACATTCATCTCTTTCTGTTACCACGGGCCTTTTTTTAAGCATTCATTTCTCTTTATTACTATGGGTTTTCCATCCATCCTCCCCCCCTCTTTTCCTTCCTTCCTTCCTTCCCTCCCTCCACTTCCTTCCTTCCTTTTTTTCTTTCTCCATTCCTTCTTTCTTCCTAACCATTCATCATTCTCTGTTACCATGGGCCTTTCTTTCTCTCTTTGTAACATTCATCTCTCTCTATTACTATCGGTTTTCTTTCTTTCTTTCTTTCTTTCTTTCTTTCTTTGCAACATATCTCTCTCTCTCTCTCTCTCTGTTACGATGGCCCTTTTATTCTTTTTCTTTCTTTGTAACCATTCATCTTTCTCTATTACTATGGGTTTATTATTGCAGGTCTTTTCTTTCTTTCTTTCTTTCTTTCTTTCTTTCTTTCTTGTTTTTATTTCGTTTTTTTTTTTTGCATCTTTTCTTTTTATTCTTTCTTTTCTTATCCATTTTTTTTCTTTTTTCTTCTCTCTCTTCCATTTATATTTTCCCCTTTTTTGTACTTCTTTCTTTATTTCAGTTTTCCATTCTTTCCCTTCAGCCTTTCTTGATTGATTTTTTTTTTTTGTAAATATTTCATCTTATATCCAATCGAGAACTAGTATTTAATAATCTCTTATTTTCATACCCACCATGTTTAGCCGTAAATCGGGGCAAACCTTGTCTATCGGTCTTCTGTTCAACTTACAACTTTATGGCCACTATTAAAACTGCTGATACGTTTTTACTATTAACGCTTACAAGTTCACCTTTTTCATCTGCCACTATTTTGACTCATGACCGCAGCTGCTGACGTTCAGGATGTTATTTCTACTTCTTTTACTGAATGAAAACCAAAACACAGAGGCCACCATATGCTATGTTCAAAGATGATCTTAAAGTTGATATTAATACGTATAGGGGTCTGAAATTTATCTAAACCTGTGCAGAGTTAGGGGACAGGGTCCAACTAAAAGTATTAAGGTCCCTGAAAATCAATGATATATATCCGTGTAAAATGCACATATGTTTCGTTTACAAACATCGGAGACAAATGCACATGTGACATTTTTGTTGCGAATAATACAAATTATTGAGTTGGGGCTGTCCGAGTGATGGGGTGAGATCGTGGGGGTTAGGCTTGTGGGCGATTAAGACATTTTTTGGCCTGTACAAATAATTAAATAAATAAATAAACACACATTCACACGCATTCATGCACAAACACGCACACGTACGTATGTGTGTGTGTGTGTGATGAACAAAGCTTGTGACATTATAAAGACTTTTAAATGAGATATATTTAATTATTTAATAGAAAAGAGTGACAAGATAGAAATGTGAACAGACAATGATAGGTAGAATGATGCATGAACACGCTATAATGCATAGTTTGAATCAATGAATATATATCGATAAGCATATGTATTTAATTACCACTAACACTCATTGTGGGCTATTTCACACACACACACACACACACATACATACATACATACATATATATATGTATATACGCGCGTCGAGACTTCGATAGATGACACCGCCCGTACACCCACAATACCCCAACACCCACACAAATCCACAGAATATATCCACATGCACCTGAAGAACATGTTTTCGGCAAACGAAAGCATTCACCGACATTAGCTCACTAGTAGTCGATATGCCCATTTAGATAATTTTGTCACATTTCATTCGGCGTTGACCATCTGTAACTATAACTCTGCCATATGTAACGCTTGTTCGTTAATGATTTTCTTTTATTATTTTGACACCAGAAAGAAAGGTAAGTCAGGTTAAAAAAAAAAAAAATACTCACTGGTAATTCATTTCTTTAACGCATTTATTGTCCTTTATTCGCTTTTATTTAACGAGTAAATTATTTAATCAAATAACACGAGAAAAACAATCGGGAAAGATAGAAAATAATGATTTTTGCATCGTAACAAACAAAAAAACATTCCATATTTATTCCGCCAAAAATTGCATTAAAAGAAAAATCGAACAGTGGATGGCAACCGGTAAAATGACCTTCTTCACGTTAAACACACATGTCCACATGAATGAAAGCATATAGTATACAATACATAAACACATGCACACTGATACATTCTCAAACACACACGTAATCCATACACACACACACGTAATCCATACACACACACACACACAAGCGCTTTTTTTGATGAGCATGTCTCTTTTGAAGACACAGACTTCGATATTCACATAAAAACACTTCCACGTTTTTAGCAGGTCATCCCTTACGAAAAGTGATTGCAAAGCGAATGCTTCAGATGTCGAATCAGTGTAAAATATTCAAGACGTATTGTGAAGAAAATAAATTTTCTGTATTTGCATATGGGGAAATACATCTGGTTTTCCGATTATTATTATTATTATTATTATTATTATTATTATTATTATTATTATTATTACACAGAAATGGGATATAATGAATCGATCTAAGTTACCCAATAGTCTGACAGAAGCGATTTTTTAGATATACGTAAGACTCAATAATTTTTTCTAGAACTTGCATTTATGTCATTATTATTATTATTATTATTATTATTATTATTATTATTATTATTATTATTATTCGGATTTAGATTATTTCGGTAAAGTGGTGGTGGTGGGGGCTCTAATTACCTCACGCAAACTATGAAAAAAGCTACCATGAAGATGTACAAAAAACAAATGGTAATTTTACTTCTGACTATTCATCGTTTGATCTATCATAGTGTTTCAGTTTAACTTCATATTGTTCAACATTGGGCAGTCCCGTTCATTACAGCTTCACAATGTGGCCGTAACTCTACCTACTGAGTAAGAAGAGATTTTTATACCAAATCATAGCTGGTTGCATTTACGATAAGACTCTTAAAAACCAAGTCTTCACTAGATGGAAATGATTCTTTTCTTTTATAAATAAACACACACACACACACACACACACACATATATATATATATATATATATATATATATATATATATATATATATATATATAGGAAATATAAGAAAAGGAAATAGAAAGGGTGTACGATTTTTGTTATGATAGACAAACAAAAGAAATAAAATTAAGGGAAGATAGCTTCGAATAAAACAACTCAAGTCGAGCCATACACACACCAGATGTAAAACGTGCACACACAACTATAGAGAGAGAAAAAGAGAAATGTACGGACGATGAAAAGATGTAAATTGGGGTACAAAATGGTTAGTTTTCTGTCTTACCTTGTACTTTACCGTAAACCTCAAAATCGACCGAGAGCAAAGTGCCTGCCATGACCACTTATTAAACATCCAAAGCGCTACATCTTCGTAGGTTCGTCTTTTTTTTTTAAACCTAAAGTAATTCGCTTAAAAAAATTTTAGAGCTTCCTGTACGGAAGATCAGGATAAACAATATTAAACTGTCGTCAGCAGTCAATGGCTTGCGTGAACTGAGGTGTATACCTGTTGCTCTGTGGCGTTATATCCAATGGAAAGCAAAGAGGGTAAGAGGAGGAAGTACTTGCGTGCCAGCCAGCGTGGGGATGTGTGGGGTTCGGCATGGTGTCAATCACTGAGAGTGGGGACGTACATACATATATATATATATATATATATATATATATATATATATATATATATATATATATTGCAGCCTGCAACTGCTCAGCTGTGTATATGCATTTCTAACAATGCGTTTACGAAAGCGTGGTGTGTATGCGTACGTGTAAATGTATTGTGTGTGTGTGTGTGTACGTGTGTGTGTAAATACACACATGCCTGACAGTAACCCCATATAAACGCTTTGTGTCTTTGCGTGGTTTGGAAGTTCATTTCTCTCTCTCTCTCTCTCTCTCTCTCTCTCTCTCTCTCTGTGTGTGTGTGTGTGTGTGCGTGTGTGTGTGTTTGTGTTTATGCGTGTGTGTTTGTGTGCGTGCGTGCGTGCGCGTGTGTGTGTGTGTTTGTGTGTGTGTGTGTGTTTGTGCGTGTGTGTGTGTTTGTGTTTATGCGTGTGTGTTTGTGTGCGTGCGTGCGTGCGTGCGCGCGTGTGTGTGTGCGTGTGTGTGTGTGTGCGTGTGTGTGTGTGTGTACTTAGTCCGAGATTATGTATCATCCTATATCCGTAAGTATGAGGGATTTGCGACTACTTATCTCTTCCTGTATCTCTCTCCTTATTTTCTATGTATTTTTTTTTTTTATGGACGTAAGGAACTTGCCGTAGAAAGCTAATCTCGTCAGGTGCTCCTGTAATGAAACCTTGTGCCAGTTTAGACTATATTTAGAAAATATCTTAGGCTCTGCCTCGTGGCAAAGTTAGTTACGATAACAGAAGTCAGTGTTCGGGGATACGTAGAAACCTGGATTTAGTATACTGATTGTCAATCTAATCTGCCCTTCTTGGAAGACTGACACTACACAATCTTCCTAGCCACATTCCTTCCCCGGTTTAGCGAGATACCATCGTGTAATATTAAACAAGCATGTCTTTTTAGTTAACTAGTTTTTTGACTTCATTTCTCATTGAGTGCTCAACTAGTGAGGCCTTGTGTCACACTAAAGTAAAGTTGTACAGTATACAACTTTGTGTAAGTGTTTTTCTACGCATTTCTCTGTGCTTAGAAACTTACCTCGGTCTATCAATAAGTCTGTAACCTAATCATGACAAAAAAGCATTTATTTTATACAACAAATATTTATTTTTTTACATGATCTCCTTTATTGTCAATGCACTTGATTCAGTGGTTAATATTACACACAGTGATCAAACGTTATACTTTCAAGTCAAAATTTAGTTGCAATGTATCAGTTTATGGAATTACTGAATCAACCTCCAACATAAATATGCCTGTGCGTGTGAAAGAATTTGACCCTCACTGGGTGTCCTATTGTTGGGGCTATCTAATTAGATCAACTTCCTTCTATCACTCGAAACAAAGGCTAGTAAATATTTTCAGGGGTTTGCGTCGTGGTTGAAGCAGTTGCATACCTCCAACCGTTGCATTGGTCAGTATTCCAGCTCAGATAATTTAAAAAATAGGTAAGATTGTGAAACTGACGCAACACAATCTTCTTGCCTGTCCAGCATTTATAATTCGAATTAGCATTTTACCACATTAATGTAAGCTCAATAGGCGTGGTTGGTTGGATGGTCTAAATGATTTTCTAGGCGTGGTTGTGTGGGTGTTAATTATTTATCTGTCTTCGCACGAGGGTGAATTTGACACAAGCTCGGTTTAATGTGCCCTCCCCCGCGTGCATAAGGTGGAAGCAAAAAATCTCTCAGTTTTCACCAACTCTTTGCTACTGAAATGCCCCAGACTTGAAGAAATGACCCTGACTCTCCTTCTTTAAACGCAATAAGAGATGTTGCCTGGGGTAACGGTTCCCCTGAGCTGGGTATAGATACATAGGCGGTAATAACGGACGTTTTTTTAGTATATATATATATATATATATATATATATATATATATATATATATATATATATGTGTGTGTGTGTGTGTGTGTGTGTGTGTGTGTGTGTATATATATGTGTGTATATATATATATATATATATATGTATATATATATATATA